ATCGAAAAACACCAGCCGCAGAGATGCACTGATTTTTGGTAGTGTGCGGCTGTAATCGCCCATGTGAATGAGGCCTTAAGCAGGCCATACAATGGGTTGAATTTTGAACGATTTTTCTATCGAAAACATCATTCATTTTGTAATCTGATGGTGCCACCAATAATTTCGAAAATCAGTCGTTTTTCATGAATTTTCCAGCATGCCCGATAAACAAAATGGGGAACCACAAAAATCGGCCGGTGCCACTACCCCACTAAGAGCAAAAATCGGCTGATTATTCTTGGGTCCAATTTTCGAACTGAAAATCATTCAAAAATCGACCCATGTATGGCTGGCCTAAGTAATGTGTAGTTAAAGGGGAAGTTCCGCTTTAAGGACTGCTCCCCCTCTCCCTATTAAGGATTGGCACCTTTGGGGAGCAGGGGAGGAGCGGGTACCCGAATTTGACAGGTACCCGCTCCCACTTCCGGTGTCCTCCGTCCCTCCCTGTAGTCTTTTGGGACACGTGACAGGTCCCAGAAGACTACAGGACCATTCATGAAGCACAGCGCTACTCACACGTGCGCAGAGGGTACCCGGCTGTGAAGCCACAAGCTATCACAGCCGGGTACCCACACTGAACATGCCAGCCTCCTGGAATACAGGACGGCCGGTGAAAAGGGCTGCGGGGGACACACCACAGGACCGAGGGACAGGTAAGTGGCTGTTTTTTAAAAGTCAACAGCTACAGTTTTTGTAGCTTTTGACTTTTATTTTTTGATAGATGGAGTGGAACTCTGCTTTAAAATGCAAAATTGCTCCCACTAAGGCCAGCCATACATGGCCCGAAGTTAAAGTACTTTTTTAACACCATTTGTCAAGTCATCGAATGCGTGAAGAATTTTTATCCGAATTTTTATATAATAAGGCCGGCCATACATGAGTCGATTTCCTAATTATTTTTTTTTGTTCGAAAATCGGACCTAAGAATAATTGGACGATCGGACAATGGCATCAGCCGGTTTTTCGTGATTCCTCCCCGTTTCGTTTATTGGGCATGCTGGAAAATTCGTGAAAAACTACAGATTCTCTAAATCAATGGTGGCACCACCGTATTACAGAACGAGCAATGTTTTTCATTTTCAATTGAAAAATCATTTGGAATTCGACCCATCTATGGCCTGCTTAAGGCCTCATTCACATGGCGATTATAGATGCACACTGCCAATAGTCAGTGTATTTCTGCAGCTGGTATCACGGGTGGTTCTGATCTTCTATCCAGGGCCATTCACCTGTCCTTAATTGCATGAAACGCCTCGAATGTCTATTTACGTGCGAACAGACGGGGCACCTGTCATTGATTTGTATGGGCTTTCTGGCCGCGGTTGTTTGAATGTAATTGGACATCTAAGATGTTACAAGCGATCATTGGCTGTAATGTAGCACAGATGGATGCAGAGGACATATGCACTACCCTTTGGTTTTAGTTATGGCTGTTCTAGTATTTTCTAGATGGGTGATACTGAGCGCCATTTGTCTTTCTTCTCCTTCCTATAAGGCAGCTGTAGGGTAGGCTGTTTGATATGTCTTACCCCAGGTTCACACTTAAGCGTTTTGCAGAAACGCAGTACAGTCCATTTAACATGATTTCCTATGGGACACATTCACATCTGCGCGTTGTCAACCCGATGTGTTTTTTGGAAAGGGTCAGGGACTTTTTTTAAACGCAGAAAGTTGCGTTTTTGGTTCTATTGACTTCAATGGAAATTCTGCAGAAAAGCATGTATTGCATTTTTGCCACGTTTTTTGATACGTTTTAAATCTGCCTAGCAACCAAGAACTTTTTTAAAAAATGAAAAAAAAAAAAAAAGACCACAAACCACATTAAAAACGCAGGTGCAAAAATGCAAAACGCAATGTTAACACAGGAGTTTTGCTGCTCAACGTGGGCACCATTAACAGAACACTACATTTTTTCAATGAAGGCAAAACATTTCTGATTGGAAGAAGTGGGGAGGTGGGGCAGTGACATCACAATCTCCGCCTCGTTCAGAGAACATTCTATGGATGGCGCCTGCCCCAAGCGAACAACCTCCTGTGCAGCAACCGTTGCCTCTTCCTCACCTGTTTTAAAGTGTTCCTAAACCCCGGACCCTGCATTCACTATATCCGGTCTCCCACAGCACACACAACATGGAAATGCAATTATGTTAGTAAATATACACTGCTAAATACCTTTTCTCATCAGCAGTTACAGCAGTCTTGTCACTTCTATCAGTGTCCAGCAGAGCACATGTTAAAGCTTGTGTGAGTTTTCATTTTGCTCTCGGAAGATGCAGGACCCCGATCTCTGTCTGTACAGTACTGATTGGCCCTGTGCTGATCACATGCACTCTCCCAAGAAAAAAAAAAACCCTCTCTAGCAATACACACCAAACTGAGCATGTGCAGAGTGACTCCACACAATATGTCCTAACCGGAAATAAGAGGGGGACACTGGAAGAAGGGGAGGATCAGAGAAGACAGGATCAAACTGCGTTTTTATACAATGCAGAGGATTAACCCCTTAGGTTCCACAGTGAGTATAACTAGCATGCTTTACTGCATATACAGACTGATTTTACTGTTCTGGGATTAGTAACACTTTAATGCTACTATAGACTGCTGGAGCCTGAAAGGACCCTACTGCTGGATAGAGAAGAGCTTGGACATCCTCCAAACCTTTTTTTTTTTTTTCTAACCTCAAACCATGTGCCAGGTCATTCCTTCCCCACAGCCCAACTCTTTGTGTTAGTGAGCCGGGCGGTGAGATTGACCCTACCTTCAGAATATTGGATTAACAAAAGAGTATAGGTTTGGGGAGAGAAGACTTTGAATGGATGTCCAAGCTCATCGGGAAGTGTTCACATCACGAGGACAGCAACCTGAGCATGACTCCTGACCCTCTATCTGGACAGTGCTGATTGGTCCTGTGCTGATCACCTGCACCCTCCCAAAGAAAAAAAAAAAACACCTACTAATACACACCAAACTGAGCATGTGCAGAGTGACTCCTAGAGCTCTGTACTATCAGCAGATGGATTGGGGACGGTGGAAAAAGTGGAAGATCAGAGGAGACAGGATCAAACAGCCTTTTTACACAATGCAGAGGATTAACCCAGTGAGTATAACAAGCATGCGTTACTACATATACAGACTGATTTTACTGTTGTGGGTTTAGTAACACTTTAACTCTCAAAATGCTGAGCCACCTCGCTGCAACTGCATGCGTTACACGCGGTTATCGTGCGGCCCAATTCAGTTGTTGGTGGTACTGCCCATAAAATGCCGTTTCATTTTTTTTGTCACAGCATGTGTACAGCCCTGAGTGGCTGCATGCCCTTGTTCAAGTAGGCGGTCAGTAGAAGGTAATACCATGGCTCAACCGCCTGATTTTGCCTCCCTCTGGTTGCCCGTGTGAATGAGCCCCCCCAAACAAGACGTCTAACGATTCCATAATACACTCAAACCTTTACCACTGTAAGAACCAAATACAGTGTGTGATAAATGCACAATGACAAAAGTATCATTTATAAAGCAGAAAAGTACAGGATTTCAGAGAATAAGAGGCATTACACTAGAAAGCTGTATCCGGCAACCTGTCCGCCTGAGCACCACAAGAGGAAGAGCGAGTCAGCTTCATACAGGAAGGGGAAGTAGTATGTGGGCAAAGCTTGCAACATACATGTACAAAACTTCACTGCACGGGAGCAAAGGTCTCCACCGCTAGTGCAGAATTCTAGCATGGAACGTATCTGATCGTAATCTTTATCTACGAAACACATAGCATTCTGACATCAGTAAATGTGCCGTTTAAACCGCTATCTACAGTATACAGTAGGTGAGCCTGCTATGGATCTATGGATTTTGGCCGTGATGTAGAAGTTAAACTGAGCAGTCCGAACATACAAAGGGATTGTGTGGATCCAGTCCAGCAGAGGGTTTGGCTGGATCGATCTCACAAACCAATATCTAAACATACATTTTAAAGAATATGTAAACCCAACATACCATATTCCTGATTTGTGCCTGCTGTACCATGTAGTTGTATGAAAAACTATCCTGTTCTCTTTGTATTGCTTCCTTTGTATGAAATCCTTGGCCAGTCCCTCTTTTCTATTAAAAACTGACCACGCCAGGCTGGAGAGCACAGCGTGGTCAGTTTTCTGACTGTGCTGGGAACTCAGTCTGCTCTCCTCCAATGATCAAACTTGTCTTGACACGCCCCCCTCTATTGAGGAGGGGAGTTCGAGTCCTGAAATGCGTTAACACTTTATCCAAGTACCCATGCTGTCCACGACTGGCATCCTTTGACTTGTCTCTGTTTTTATGACCTTTTTGGCTTGAGTATATTTTTGCATTTTTAAATAAATTTCATATTATCATGGTAATGCACGAGGGGAGTGCGCCGTTTTGTTTTTTTCTGCTAGTATCGATATTCCCCAATCTACCAAGGGCGGCACCTCAGCAAGTGCAGGATTCCATTTTGAGTGCAGCAAGAGAGATTTGAGCACCGGTTTCTGGTTACTGTTGGATATTCCTGATATGTGCCTGCTGTACCATGTAGTTGTATGAAAAAACTAGCCTGTTCTCTTTGTATTGCTTCCTTTGTATAAAATCCCTGGTGTTCCTACCAGTTTCTCTTTTCCATTAAAAACTGACCACGCCAGGCTGGAGAGCACAGCGTGGTCAGTTTTCTGACTGTGCTGGGAACTCAGTCTGCTTTCCTCCAATGATCAAACTTATCTTCACCACCCCCCCCCCCCCCACACACACACACACACACAGCCATTCACTGGGAAGAGCAGTGTGCTTCTATTTCTGCCCCCCCCCCCTTATGAACTCCTCATGCAGCTGAGAACAGAGGGGATGTGATCACTTATAAAAAAGGAAAACAAAAGTATTTATAAAGTTTTTTTATATCAACACACAAATGTTTTACCTTTCATGTCTATTTTAAACTGTATTCACTATATCTGGTCTCCCCGGGACCCTGCAATCACTATATCTGATCTCCCCAGGACCCTGCATGCACACTATATCTGGTCTCCCCGGGACCCTGCATGCACTATATCTGGTCTCCCCGGGACCCTGCATGCACTATATCTGATCTCCCCGGACCCTGCATCCACTGTATCTGGTCTCCCCGGGACCCTGCATGCACTATATCTGGTCTCCCCGGGACCCTGCATTCACTATATCTGATCTCCCCGGACCCTGCATCCACTGTATCTGATCTCCCCGGACCCTGCATCCACTGTATCTGGTCTCCCCGGGACCCTGCATCCACTATATCTGATCTCCCCGGACCCTGCATCCACTGTATCTGGTCTCCCCGGACCCTGCATTCACTATATCTGGTCTCCCTGGACCCTGCATTCACTGTATCTGGTCTCCCGGGACCCTGCATTCACTGTATCTGGTCTCCCGGGACCCTGCATCCACTGTATCTGGTCTCCCAGGACCCTGCAATTCACTATATCTGGTCTCCCCGGACCCTGCATTCACTATATCTGATCTCCCCGGACTCGGCATTCACTATATCTGGTCTCCCCGGACCCTGCATTCACTATATCTGATCTCCCCGGACCCGGCATTCACTATATCTGGTCTCCCCGGACCCGGCATTCACTATATCTGGTCTCCCAGGACCCGGCATTCACTATATCTGGTCTCCCCGGACCCGGCATTCACTATATCTGGTCTCCCAGGACCCGGCATTCACTATATCTGGTCTCCCAGGACCCGGCATTCACTATATCTGGTCTCCCAGGACCCGGCATTCGCTATATCTGATCTCCCCGGACCCTGCATTCACTATATCTGATCTCCCCGGACCCTGCATTTGCTATATCTGGTCTCCCCGGACCCGGCCTTCACTATATCTGATCTCCCCGGACCCTGCATTCGCTATATCTGGTCTCCCACAATACAGAGAACATGGAAATGCAATTATTTTTAGGGATGCACCGAAATTACGGCCACTGAAACATACTGGCCGAAAATTGCTCTATTGGCATTTTGCAGATAGGAAAAATGTAGCTGATACAGGGGGCTGTTTGTACTGAAGATGTGAGGTGGGGGGGGGGGGCAGTGGAAAAAGGCAGGAGAGAAGCAGTGAATACAGTGACTAGTGTCTGACTATATGTCAGTGCTGGTTTTGAAATACAATTGCTGGGGTTTTTTTTTTTTTCTTCACTATAGCTCAGAGAATCAGCTGTCACTTTCTCCAAGCTAAAAGAAACAAAGTTTCCTTTTAGTTTCTTTCTCGAGCCAAAATGGCGAAGAAAAAAAGAAGCTGGCAATTGCATTTAAAAATCAGCATTGACTCATATGCTATCACATAGGACTATTGGTCAGCTATGTGATAGCAATAAAATCATAAGTTAAAAAAAAAATTAAAAATATACATGAAAGTAGAAAAAAATTAAAAAATAAAATATTGGACCCTCTTCACCCCCACATATGCAGACGTTTTGATTTTCGGCCACATGCATTCTGAATTTTCGGTATCGGGTTTTGTCACCAGAATTTTCATTTCAGTGCATCACTATTTATTTTAGTAAATATAAACTGCTAAATACCTTTTCTCATCAGCAGTTAGAGCAGTCTTGTGACTTCTATCAGTGTTCAGCAGAGCACTGGTTAAAGCTTGTAGGAGGAGTTTTCTTTCTGCTCTAGGAGGATGCAAAACCTCTGTCTGGATAGTTCTGATTGGCCCTGTGCTGATCACATGCACTCTCCCAAGACAAAAAAAAAACCTCTCTAGCAATACACATTAAGCTGAGTGTGTGCAGAATGGCTACGGTTCAGTTTGTCTTATCAGGAGATAAGACGTGGACATTTGAACAAGAGGAGGAGCAAGAAAGTCAGGATCAAACAGCCTTTTTACACAATGCAGAGGATTAACCCCTTAAGTTCCACAGTGAGTATATCACGCATGCTTTACTGCATATACAGACTAATTTTACTATTGTGGATTTAGTAACACTTTAACTCTGAAAATGCTGAGCCACCTCGCTACAACTGCATGCATTGCATGTGGTTATCATGCGGCCCAATTCAGTTGAAAAGGCCATGTTTGTCTCGGTGGTACTGCCCATAAAATGCACAATGCTGTTTCATTTTTTTGCCACAACATATGTACAGCCCTGATTGGCTGCATGCCCTTGTTCAAGTGGGCGGCCAGGAGAAGGTAATACCATGGTTCCCTCTGGTTGCCCATGTGAATGACCCCCCCCCCAAACAAGACATCCAACAAGATCAAGAACAAGATCCTTACAGATTACTGCTGGATTCCCTAGGTGCATATGTTCCTGTGCATACTGACAAAAAAATTGGGTGGCGGGGGGAGGTTCTGTTGAAATTCTGCTTTAAAAAAAAACACAGATTTGGCTACATGCTTGTAATAAAGGTTAGGCGCTGGTACAAATGAGACCTTCAAATGTGCGCAGGCACACTGCCTACCAGCTCAGAATTTTGTTTTTTTTTTTTTTTTCCTATGCCGCTCCATAGCTGACTAGTCCACTCATTCGCTTTTGACCTTCATCTGATGAACTGGGAACCTCTTTTGCTTACCTTTTTTAATGCAGGAGAGGTATTCTCAAATACACCCACTGCAGGACTTGGCTGGCTCTCAAAAAGCCTCATTTAAAGAAATAAAGTAGTGATGAGCCACCAATCGGATTTAAATTTGCCCAGATTTTCACTTTGTTAAAGAAGATGTTCACTGAAAGTCAAACTGCTACTCTACCATGCTGACAAAAGCTTCCTCAGAATTTTTTCGGGGGCCCCGAAATAAACATTTTACATCCATTCCCTATACACAAACATATCTGTGTTCTCATCCACAGTGCCAGACTGCCATCATCTACTCTACGCTTTCTCTGAGATCTGCTATGCTGTCAGGAACACCTCCACCTACATACCCACCTCAACACTCTGTGACAGTCAGACCACCCCTTGTGCATCAAACTATTATTAACAAGTCAATTAAAGCTTTCATTTTATTTTTACTCTAACATAGTGGTCTCCAAACTGTGGCCCAAGGGCCAAAGGCGGCCCTTTGCATACCTTTATTCAGCCCTTGGGGCATTATTCCTCCCACTGATGTAAGGCATTAATACTCCCACTGACACCAATGATGGCGCCACTATTCCTCCCACTGATGTAAGGCATTAATACTCCCACTGACACCAATGATGGCGCACTATTCCTCCCACTGACACCAATGATGGCGCACTATTCCTCCCATTGACACCAATGATGGCGCACTATTCCTCCCACTGACACCAATGATGGCGCACTATTACTCCCACTGACACCAATGATAGCGCACTCTTCTTCCCACTGACACCAATGATGGCGCAATATTCTTCCCACTGACACCAATGATGATGCACTATTTCTCCCAATGACACCAATGATGGGGCATTATTTCTCCCACTGACACCAATGATGGCGCACTATTCCTCCCACTGACACCAATGATGGTGCACTATTCCTCCCACTGACACCAATGATGGCGCACTATTCCTCCCACTGACACCAATGATGGCGCACTATTCTTCCCACTGACACCAATGATGATGCACTATTTCTCCCAATGACACCAATGATGGGGCATTATTTCTCCCACTGACACCAATGATGGCGCACTATTCCTCCCACTGACACCAATGATGGAGCACTATTCCTCCCACTGACACCAATGATGGCACACTATTCCTCCCACTGACACCAATGATGGCGCACTATTTCCCCCACTGACACCAATGATGATGCACTATTCCTCCCACTGACACCAATGATGGGGGCATTATTTCTCCCACTGACACCTGATTATTCCTCCCACTGACACCAATGATGGCGCACTATTACTCCCACTGACACCAATGATGGCGCACTATTACTCCCACTGACACCAATGATGGCGCACTCTTCTTCCCACTGACACCAATGATGGCGCACTCTTCTTCCCACTGACACCAATGATGGAGCACTAATATTTCCCATAATACCAAAGATGAAACATTGTTTACTCCCATTGACACCAGGACATTTTCTACTCCTATTGGTCACAGTCCAACCCCCCTTAAAGTCTAAAGCACAGTAGCTGACACAATGCCATTCCTCTAAAATAAACCTATGTGGATTGTGGGTATAATGGATCAAACATATTTACAGATTTGAGATTAGGGTAAATTTGAAGACTGGAAAAGTGAAAAGTTTTTTTTTTTTTTTTTTTTGTTAATGGATTATCCAATGTTAGCCCATTTCAGTTGGGTCAATCACCTATAGCAGGGGTCTCCAAACTATGGCCCTCCAGCTGTTGAAGTACTACAAGTCCCATCATGCCTCTGGAAGTCTTGCCTGTGGCTGTCAGATTCTTGCAAGGCCTCATGGGACTTGCAGTTCCTCAACACCTGGAGGGCCATAGTTTGGGGAATCCTGCCTTATAGCACAGCTTCTCAACCAGCAGTATGCATCCAGGGTTACGTTTTCTCAGATCTCAAGCTTTTGTCGCTGACAGCTTGGCACTTGGATCTGCCTTGCACAGCTGTCAGCAGGTCAGTGAGAATTGGGCAATCCAGCTCCCAGCTCCGGACAAGGAATACAGATGGGTTTAGTTTGGGGTTAGTTTAGTGTAAATGTGTAAAACTGTAGGGTTAAAGTTGGGATTTAAGGGGTTAGCTAAGCGATTGGGGGTGTTAAGCCATCGCTTTGGGGGTTTGGATTCACCTAAGGGTGAAGGTCAAGTGTTTAAGAAGAAATCCAAGTATGGATATTTTTATGTAATTACATTGGTCCAGCCTGGACCAATGTAACTATGTATCTACCATACCTGTGGGATCCCTGGCAGATGAAATCATGGCAGTAGACACCCCTACTCTAGTGATCACCATTAGCTTCCAGGTCCTCTGCTGAGCAGCTGCCCTGCTGTACTGTGCCCACAGAAGGTTGACCGTTTGGCACGGGTTCCATCCAGAAATGGCTTTGCATTTTCTTAATGAATGCAAAGCATTCTTGATTGGATGAGGTAGAGAGGCAAGGTGGTGATGTCATCTTCTTCACCTTGTCCAATCATAGAATGCTTTGCATTCATTGAGAAAATTCAAAGCATTTTCTAAATGGCACCTGGAGCTGTGGTGTGCACAATGCAGCAGAGCAGCCACTCAGAACGGGACCCAGAAGCTAGTGGAGGTCACTGTAGTGGTGCTTACTATAGTGATTTTCAGCTTCCACAGGTATATTATATGCATAGTTACATTGATTCAAGCTGGATGTAAAACATCCATACCCAGAATTGTCTTATAGGGTTAAAATAGACATATTGGCAAAATGGCTAATTTCAGGCCAGAAATATGTGTGAACTGTTAACCTGACACAATATTTGTAATTCTTCTGTTCATCCAGCTTTAAATCCAGACTTCCCTGTCAGACAGGACTACCAGGATATAACCTTGTTTTTCTGTACTGTGGTTAAAACAAAAAAAAATACAATTCGGTTCAGGATCACCCCAGCCTGTGACTGGCTTGCAGTGTTGCTTCTTC